CCCTGCTACTACTAACTGCCCTACTACTAACTGCCCTACCACTAACTGCCCTGCTACTAACTGCCCTATATGGCAGGTTACGCTTTGTAGGTCTGAATCAAAAATGTTTACGTCGCAGATGTTTACATCCAGAATAGTAGTTAGGTTGAAACTCACAACAAAAATATGTCTGAGCTTATTCCATACTGTTAGCTACACTACATACAATGACTAGATTGCACATATTAGAGATTATACAGACTATTTGAACTGTGCCACACTGTTACATATATGTTATATAAGAGCAGCAATACTCTAATATATTATATTGTTGAGTACTGGTATTGGAGTATTGGTTATAGACGTGTAATAACAGTAGTGTTTCTCTCTCCTGTGTGTCAGGTACAACAAGCTGAGTCGTAACATCAGAGATCTGGCCCAGAAAATCAGAGACCTGGATGAGAAAGATGGCTTCAGAGCTCAGAGCTCACATCAACTCCTCGAAAAACTGTGAGTTTCTCTGTGTGATATTGTTTGATAGCATTTACAGTTCGACCTGTACCACAAGTGAGATGATCCAGCTCTGTTTGGGATATCTGTCTTATTCCATCTCTGCAGCTCAGAATAACATCACTTGACTTTGTAATAATCAGAAGGTTAGACATTTGGTCAGATAGTCCAGTGCTTCCCAACCTTTTTCCTTAAGGGACCATTTCCAGTCATTTAGTAAACTGACGACCACTGCTTAAGTGACATACATAACAATCATACAGAGGCATCTTTTTGGACAAATTCAGTGTTTTCTTGTCCCTGAAGCTTGGCCATTGTTCTATTCAACCATTTTTTTCCTTTACAGAAATGCTGAGATATAGGCCTACTGTGTATGTTTTTTAGGTTTTCTTACACCACTTAAAATCAACAAGGCCTCACAACCCCCCATGAAGCTTTGGCGACCCCCAGGTTAGGGACCACTGAGATTGACCTTATCAGATGTTAGCTACAATTACTTTTAACTCACATTTCCATCACATATTCAAACTAGTTTGTTCATCATCAGACAAAAAGAGCACAAACTCTCCTGCACATATTTATAACCTTACTTTTAGTTTCTACAGCCTCTTATTCTATTTAGTTATGTGATTATATTTAATACGTTTCACTTATAACCAAATTACCCCGTGTGAATCTCGTTTCATCTCCTGTCATATTAAGTACTTCACTCATGGTTCTAATGACGTTATTTGTAAGTAATTGTTATCTTTAACATGAACGTGCTCATAGCAGTTATAGCTCCATGAGGCCAGGTAACCCAAGGAGAGCTGGACTAAGCTGAGCTCATGGTACAGACTCCTGTACGGACATACTGTGGTGTCTGTTTGTATTTTGTCATTTTGTGTCTTGATCTGTTTTAAAGTCACCATATCGCACTGATCCTTTTATTGTTTCTTCACATAAGGTACAGTATCGGTCTCCTCCCCACCAAACAGAATCTGTCCCTCACAGAGAAAGTCACAGCTTCGTCATTCTGCAGGTAAATCCTCCCACAAACACGTTGTACTCTAATTCATGCCTTGGTTGTGACCATATATCACTCACCTGTGTGACTCCTGCAGGAGGAGGCTGCCCAGCATCATGTTGAACCTTCGTATGGCTCAGAACCTGAAGACAGCCATCACCTTCATCGAACAAGGACGTATCCTTCATTACTGCAAGAGATGATGCCCACAAAATGTCTTATGTTGTAATGTGTATTCTCCTTGTTCACAGTACACAGTATTTTTTTGGGAGTGAAGTTTTATCTCTCTTTTCTCTTGAGTTAGTTTTGTCTAGAGTAGAAATAGCTTTGCAGTATTGTCCTTGACTCGGTCTCAGATGTGCGTGTTGGCCCAGACATCGTCACAGACCCGGCGTTTCTAGTCACAAGGTCAGTGTGCGCGTGTTGTTTTGTCTCCTCATAATTTGTTTTGCATCACTTTATGCAAACTGTCTATTCAGCAAAAACAGAATAAGTTCATTGTACAGATTCATGTGCACAAGCGTCTCAAATGATCAAACATTACTTTTTCAGAAATATGGAAGATTTCGTCACTTGGGTGGACTCCTCCAAGATCAAGCAGCATGTCATGAATTATAATGATGAGGTGAGTCAGTTTGCAGGTTCTGCTCAAATATTTCATCCTACAGTCGCTGTAGTAAAAATGATGTAATTGTTTAGTTTCAAAGCAGTGACCATCTGATGTTTGAATCAAGAGTGTGATTGATCATTTTCTGGGCTGAAGCATAATGCTGATGTTATGCAACTGACCACTGTTTGTATTACAGAGGGATGACTTTGATCTGGTGGCATAAGTCTGTTGCACAACGTTCTTTCATCACCCTCGAGGACAGGAAATGGACAAGAACTCTGCACCTGTAACTGTGGAGTGAATAACTCTACTGGCCAGGAGTCAACAGCTTGAATCACATATCAACTTGGAAATTATGGAAAGAAAATAAATGCTTTCACCTCAACAAGTTTCATCTGAGCAAGGACAGAAGGAGCTCTCTTCCAAACTTAACATGATTCACAGAACACCTGTCTTCTGATGATCAACCAGAATAAATCTGATTCTGGGGGTCAGGTGGCTCATCTTAGTGCCCATCAGTGTCACCATTTGACTCTTTTCTTTAAACCTGCTCAGCCACCAGACACTCAGTTGTTTCCTGCAGAGCCACTCCACCATCACACTGGTTGTACAGAACAGCTTCCAGTGTTGTGACTCTGCATTATGTGTTCTTTGGGTGAACCTCAGCTGGCTTCACAGGGTTAGTATGTATGTGACCATGGAAATGCTGGTTTATAAGTGTGTATACCATAAAAGGACTGTCACTCTCACGCTCATATTAACACAACTTTTTTTATTTTTTTATTTTTTTACAGCAGCTGTAAAATAGAAACTTAAAATTTGATAAATATTTAATTTTTTCAGTAAGACTTGTTACAATGTAAACTTTGAACAATAAACATTCTTTTATCACAGTATTAAGACTTTTTACAAACCCTCTGCTTATGCATACATGTTTTCTCCTTAATGCTGAAACTCTGATAGAAACCCCTAAAGCCAGTGTGTAACATTGTAAACATTCCTTCATCAAAACCCTGTTCTTATTATTCCAGTTAACAGAGGACTATGAACTCACCATGAAGCATTTGCTTTTATACAAAGAGAAGTCCCACCGCAGACCTATGGCTCAGTTTATACTGTGTATGTAGCATAACTCAAAGCTGGATAAAGCACAGAAAGAACTTGTACCTTCAGTAGGGATAGACTGTATATGACCCTTTTAAGGCACCCTGGTGTCCAACAGAAATGTAACAGGATTAGTTTAAATGCTTAGAAACACCTTCTCCCCTATGTCAAAGTCCTTGTTTGAGAGTCCATCAGAGCCACCAGAAACGCAAATAGATGATGAGTGTGATGAAGAACACCGCCACAGCAGCCACCTTGGCATACGCAGAACGGGTGTTGAGGTATTTGGCGTCGCTGCGGTACTTCTTAGACAGGTTGGAAAGATTGCTGGCTTTCGTATCTAGAGCTGAGGAAAATATACGTATCAAGCTGAAATGGAAATGTTCTTAACAATAAATGTACATTTAGCTTTGAGAAGATTTACAAACTAAACAGGAACGCCTTACAATATCATGTAATCCAGAACATCACCACAGACTGACCACAACATTTACTGTAAGTAAAATGAACACATCTGACACTGAATAGAAAATCCATGTTCATAGAGGCAGTATTATGAATTGTTCTTGGTATTTTGTCCCTTATGCTTTGTGCAGGTACCCTGGCTGTTTCTCTTACTGTACTTACCAGAAAGAGCTTCTCCTCTTTGCAGAACTTCCTCAATGTTTGCCACCATAATTCTCTGGACATCCTGTAGCTCTGTGTTAATACTGCCCAGGTTCCTCCTGGCCCTGCTGTCAATGTATGACTTCTTTGTTTTCTGGATGTATGTGTCTGGAACAATGTATGTATATGTTTAGTCAAGGATTTTGTTCTTTCTGCAGAGAGTGAAACAATGTTTCTTGAATGTACCTGATCAGAAATAATCTTACCAAACTCGATGAAAGAGTACGGCCTCGTTACTGTGGGCACTCTTCTTCCATACTGGTCATAGAACTGACTGTGGAGGTCTTCAAGGTATGCAAAAGCCAGCTTTTTGGGAAATGAAGCCTCACAGAGGAACAGGTAGCATACACCCTGTGCTATTATATAGCTGAAAACAAGAAACATTCAGTCCAGATCAATGGTTATTTCATGACACTGATGCCTGGTGAGATATGTCTCAACCTAAACATCACCTGTGCAATATTACAGAAGTGAGGTGAATTACGTTATAGTCTGGGTTTCCCCTGTAACTTACTGAAAGTTCATGTCCCCGGCCTCCAGGGTACAGCGGTCCGGACTCTGCGCATTCAGTTTACGGCACAGCTGCTTGGCCTGACTCTGGTACTGCTGGAGGTCTCTTCCTGACTGACAAAGATAAGCAGAAACAGTCATATGTAAAGTTGCAACACTCAGATAAAACAAAATGACTCAAATGGTTGAAAGACCATATCATATTTTTTTTGGCCAAAGATTAAAAACTTGACAGCTGAATGTAAAATGATTGGTTCCTGGAAGAAGGAGCTAATGTTACATTTATTGTTTATTTATACAGTGTAAAATGTTACACTGTATTTGGTGACCCATCAGATTCTGTGACCTGCGGTGTTGAAAGAAATTACATCTTACATCCCAGTATTCAGAGTAAAAGTATGAATACCACAATGTAAAGATACTTAAATACAAGTAAAAATCCTGCATTTAAGTAAAAGTAAAATACTACCAAGTAATTTAGCAGAAAATCAGGCTTTGACTGATTAACTAAAATGCTGCTTGTGCATTATCATCAGTAATGTACTTTGTGTTTATAGTTTATTTAATAGTAACAGACTGATCTGAACTTTTTGAACTTTTAAGTAAATATATCTGGTAATACTAACATAACTTTACTTAAGTAGTTTTAAAATGTAGGATGAAATGAAGTATTTCTGTGTTGTGGTACCGATACTCCCACTTCCCACACTGCAGGTCACAGAATCCGATGGGTCACCAAATACGATGTAACACCTGAAACCTTTTTACAAACGTTTCTGTAAAAATAAACTATTTATTTTATATTTAGCAAACGTTTTAATATGTTCTTCTTTTATTCTCACAACTCGTCTCAGTAAAATAATAATTCACACACGATGACAGAAACGTAACTACCAGTATGTTATTGCATGTTATTGTTAACGTAACGCTACATTAAACATATGAAGTTTTAGTTTAAATTCAATAAACTGCTGCTTCGTGGATTATGTAGTTCTATAAGACGTTTCTCGATGTCCCAATAAAGTCTTAAATGTTGTTTTTGTTGTTTGTTTTTCACCCTGTGCTGATACGCAGCAGTCATTAAACCGGACAGTTTTTGAATGGAGTTTGGTGTACAGTTCAAACAGCTCTTTCTACCTGCTCATCCTCCTGAATGGACGCAGCGAGCGGCAGTCCGTCCGCCACACGGGCGACCATCGTCAGAGAGATCATAGTGATGGACGTCCACTGTCGGTCCGAGCGGACACTGTGAACTTCACAAACTTTCTAAGTGTTTGCTGTCAACTTTGATGATGCAGAAGGAATGCGCTGGCCGGAAGTTCACGGTGCGCCGGTGAATGAGGCCCGACTGGCAACTGATGAAATTGCAACTTCGTAGTCAAATTTCCATCGCATAAAGAGGTAGGACGCTCCTGAAACTGTCTGCGCAGTGAAGTGTGCTTTGTGTCGAACACAACTGTGATTTCTGGAGAGAAAAAATAATCTGCTGATTGACTCGCTTGGTTAATTTCTCACTTTAACAGAGTGTATCGGGCCATGAGCTCCAGCAGTCCGAGCAGACAGCTGGCAGACGGACTGACTGCATCTCGACTGCTGATGCCTGTATTGAGCCGAGAGGTGCAGATGCGGTGTGTCTGGGTCCTGCGTCTGGAGTGAATCCTCTCTGAACCGAAACCAGAGGAAGGACCCCCCGAAACCATGGACAAACCACAAAGGTAACGTTGCCCCATCGCCATCGTACGTTTATTCTGCAATCTATTGTTTGCTTATTCGGTTCCCTATATATGTGATATCGTGTCGGTGTCTCCTGCTGGCCGTGGAATGGCTGCTCTCTTCGCATCTTCTTTTGTTATTATTGCTTTAAGCAGCTCTGGTCCTTGTGTATCTCTGCGACGGTGTGGAACGAGACGATTGTGGATATTTTTGCAGCTTTAACGGGGATTTGCGTTTCCCTCTCACCTCTGCGCTTTCCTAATGATAATGTGTGGAACAGCCCAGTGATGCACCGTGTATGGGCTGCAGCTTGTCTCTACACAAATGCACGAATGAAAGCCAGCAGTGAGGAGGAGAACATGATGTGTGCGGAACAGCTGACTGTGCAGCTGTGCGGTCAGTGTTTAGGCTCATCCGTACCATATGGGGATCAATCCCTCCGCATCCTCCAGAGCACAATGCCGAACGCTACCAGGTGATTTGGTCTAATGCACAGTTATGTTAGCCATATTGCCGGGAGTGCTACATGCCGATATAACGGCGGAGACGGGAGCTACAGTTTAATCCCCTGAGCTGCACAGAAAACCCCCATTCACTAATAGAAATGACCCGGCGGCTTGGCACAGTGGCATCCTGAACAGCTTGAAAGGCCTTATTGTTGCGGGGCAGCTGGCACCGCCGTGCGCACGTTCTCATTGGTGTTTCCCCAGTCCGGCGTGTGCGTGACTCACTCAACCCTATATTTTATTGTCTTTTCAATAATATATTGGGATGCCCGCGTGTTTTAATTCTAGGGTGGGGCGCTTCATGACTAATTGATTATAAAAAAGATAGTAATTCCCAAGCTAGAGTTCAGGGGATTTCTTCCCCTGAGAAATGTCTTATTTCCTTTCCTCTCAGAGTGTATCCCTTTTGGTTTGTAGTAACAAGGACCACACTCTCCTCCGTTCTGGAGGTCTATAATAAGGACAGATGCTCCTCAGATGATTTCCCCAGGGACAAAACATTTATCAGATTGCCTGACTGTGATCTTTCTGCTTGCTCACAATATAAGTTTGTGAACTCCTGATATCTACAAATATCTAACCATCATACCGGCCCCCAGGTGTGCCTGTAATGCTCAGGGGTGAGGAGGAGAGCAGCTGAGGAGGAGGAGATGGGCTGCACCTCTGCCAAGCAGGTGTCTGCCGTGCCCAACGGTGAGGAGGGCCAGAATAAAGCCTACAGCAACGGGGACCTCCTGTCTGGTCAGTCTGTTTACTGAACACACTAATACTCTTATTTCCCATGTACCTCTGTGTTCAGGTGGTGTTTATTTTCCTTTATATTTCTAAAATGTGAGGTTTTTGCCACAACTCATCAATGTGATTCATTCCTGATGTGGAAGTTCCTGACTGCCATACCTGGATTTTTAAATAATAGCTGACATTGACATTGATGTGGGTATTTAAAATAAATAATAATCCACTGTGTAGGTGATACCTTAATGTCTCAAGAATTTTGAAACACAGGTGTTACTAATTGAGGCTCTGTTCCATTTAGTGTAGCAGAGCCTTTCCAACGTGCCAACATGCACAATAGCAGCACACCAACTCTGTTTGACCTCAAGTAAACAAAATCTTAATTAGTATCAGGTCACGTCAAAATGGCTGCTGCGAAAAAGGTCTGTAGTGCTGGGATTGTCTCTAATTAGTGTTTTATTAAAGGCAGGTTTGCATGAATGTCAAACAGAGCTATAGAATCATTTTAAAGCCAAATCTTGTCTTAGGCTGCAACGAACAATTGATTGATTGATGCAGCAGTTTTGGTAGTTTGGTCACAAGATGTTAGAAAATTGTGAAAAATGTCTGTCAAAGAGTCCAAGATGTTAAATCTTAAAGCTCTTAAAATGTTTTGAGTGTCT